GGAACATGTATGTTTATCTTTTTTTTTTAAAGATTTATTTATTTATTTTAGAGAGAGAGAGTGAACATGCGTGAGCTGGAGGAGGGGCAGAGGGACATTTTGATAATTAGATATCCCTTTGATAAGGGAGATTTTGAATGTGACCTGCCCTTGCGTGTGGAACTCAACAGAAGATTTGTGGGTGGCCCACGTATTCATGGGCAGCCACCCAGGGAAGGAGTGTAGGGCACAGGAGGGGCAGACCATGTCAGGAATTGAGAGATCATGGGCTAGCCTTAACAGGGCAATGTATCTCCTGTTGGGTGATGTCCCCTAGCCTGGGGGGACCAAGTTCAGGAATAGGAAGATATTTTAGTAAGTCAGAGTGGGAGGTCTGGAGAACGAGGTTGTACCAGCAGCAACTCTAAGCAACTCCTACCATTGCTCAGCATGACCTGGGTCAGAAGGAGCCCCTACCTGTGGGTGCTGACCTGCCTGTGGGTGTGTGGGGCCCAGAGACAGAAGCATAGGGGCTTCATCCACATTGGCCTCTGGGTTTCAGAAAGCCTATTTCGGCCACCCCACCCCTAGTGCCCTACTGGACGAGGCAGAGCAGGGCAGATTTATAGGGTATGTGCTGCCTCAGGTGGGCAAAGTGGGCTCAAAGCTGGTAGTGCTCCCCAAAGCCTCCCAGACAATAGGAGGTTGGCACCTTGGCAACCTGGCAAGGTGACTTTTGTTTATTATGTATTGAAGTATCATTTTCATGCAATTAAATTCACCTTTTTTTAAAATAATTTTTTATTGTTATGTTAATCACCATACATTACATCATTAGTTTTTGATGCAGTGTTCCATGATTCATTGTTTGTGCATAACACCCAGTGCTCCACGCAGAATGTGCCCTCTTTAATACCCATCACCAGGCTAACCCATCCCCCCACCCCCCTCCCCTCTAGAACCCTCAGTTTGTTTTTCAGAGTCCATCGTAAATTCACCTTTTTTAAGTATAAACTTCAATGAGTCTGACAAACATGTGTATTCACATAACCCCAACCCCAATTCCGACATACCACAAGTCCATCACCCCAAAAAGTCAGGTCCCTCCTCCTGCCCTTGGCCCCTGCCATCTACTGAGCTGTGTTCTGTCCCTATCATTTTGGCTTTTCCAGAATGTCAAGTAATGGAATCATTCAAAAGGTTGTAGCATTTTGGGGCGCCTGGGTGGCTCAGTCGTTAAGCGTCTGCCTTCGGCTCAGGTCATGATCCCAGGGTCCTGGGATCGAGTCCCACATCGGGCTCCCTGCTCCGCGGGAAGCCTGCTTCTCCCTCTCCCACTCCCCCTGCTTGTGTTCCTGCTCTCGCTGTGTCTCTCTGTCAAATAAATAAATAAAATCTTTAAAAAAAAAAAAAGATGGATTGATGGACGGATAGGGGTATAGATAGGTGGACAGACATGTTCAAGCAAGTAGCAAAATGTCAATTGCAGGATCTTGGTGGTGGGTATATGGACTGTATAATTCCTTCAACTTTTCTATGTTTGAAATTTTCCAACATAAAACACAAGGGAAAATATTAAAGAGATAGACATGGTACAGAAGAAAATACGTAAAAGTAAAAATTCACCAGAATGGCCAAAATTGAGTTTGAAAAATATCTTTATGATTTGGAAACAGAATGGAATCGTTGCCGTGGTGGTTTTCACCTGGTGTTTGCTTGTCCTGCAGCCTGTCTTGGCCCCCAGCTGTTGGTGTTTCTTCTCCAGCTACTGCCATCCTCCACTTGGGACATTTTCGTTTCTGGTGGCTTGTCACACAGCTATACCTGTTAACCATGGTGGGGTTTCCACTGTCAAGAATAAAAAAAACTATGTAAAAACTATCAGAAGCACTTTTAAAATTTTTAAACTGCTTTAGAGGGAAGGAAATAGAGCAGGCAGTTGGCTCAGCTACCATTAGTTAGTCTGAACTTTTTATATATTGGTTAAAGACCCAGAGAAAATACAGAAAAATGTTTCACAAACCTTGAGTCCCCAGAGACACCCAGGTTCTTATTTCACAGGGTGAAGGTTTTTATTTCACATGGTGAAAGGCTCTGACGTTAGAAGAAACAAAGAGGCAAGAGTGTCCTCACCTTTCACAGTGACTAACAGGATGTCATCGCTGAAAGAGCGCATGGTGCTCCTTGAGTCCTTGTGGCAGGTTCTCAGCCCGCAGGGGTCAGCTGCTCCAGCAGCAGAGAGAGACGGGTATGGCTCAGCTTCTAAACAGACCACATGCTTTTAGCTTTAAGTCATTTATTTTCTTTTCCTTTCCTTTCCTTTCTTTTCCTTTCTTTTCCTTTCTTTTCCTTTCCTTTTTCCTTTCCTTTCCTTTCCCTTATTAAAGCGAGAGCGCACATGATCTGGAGCTGGGGCAGGGAGAGGGAGAAACAGGCTCCCCATTGAGCAGGGAGCCTGAGGGGGGTGTCCAGTCCCACGACCCTGAGATCATGACCTGAGCCAAAGGCAGACACTTAACTTGAGCTATCCAGATGCCCCTCGAGTTGTTTACTTTCTTTTCCTTTTTTTTTTTTTTTAAGATTTTATTTATTTATTTGACAAAGAGAGAGAGCAGGAATACAAGCAGGGGGAGTGGGAGAGGGAGAAGCAGGCTTCCCGCCAAGCAGGGAGCCCGATGGCGGGGCTCGATCCCAGGACCCTGGGATCATGACCTGAGCCAAAGGCAGATGCCCAACGACTGAGCCACCCAGGTGCCCTAAGTCGTTTACTTTTGACTTGTCCTCTTATCACCTGATTTTCTCAAAGGAGACCTTTTTTTTTTTAATTTATTTTTTTGGTAATCTCTACACCCAACGTGGGTCTGGAACTTCACCCTGAGATCAAGAGTCACATGCTCTTCCAACTGAGCCAGCCAGGTACCCCAGCCCTTTTTTATTTCATGATTTTTGCTCTGAGAGAGAGTTTCCATGCCACTGTAAGCAGATCCACACGGCCCTGGCAGTGCAGACCAGCAAGAGCTGTTGAAGCCACCTTGTCCTCCTTACTTGCCCTGTTGACCTTTGTGGCTATGGCTAGGAGAAAGAGATGGCACTTTACAGCAATTGCATCTGTGGTTTACAAGTGCTTTCCTGTAGGTCATCAAATGTTATTCTTCCTGAAGACTCTGGGAGAGAGGAATTAATCTTTCCCTGTTTTACAGGTGAGAAAACGGAGGCTTAGAGATAGGGAGCTGCTAGGAAGGACCAATACAAGGGATGGGTCTGTGTGTATGTGTGCACACTCACATATGCCTCTATGCACGTGTGTGTGCCTAGTGGTGGTGATGGCAGTGGGGGTTAACGCTGCTGTGGAATCAGTCATTATAACCGTTGTCAGTTAGGACTTGAAAATCCCACAGTTCCAGCTCAGGCCGTTCATCTGATGAGCTCAGGTCACTGTAAGGCGAAAATGCACTCCTGCGCATGTCCTCTACTCTCAGTTCTCTGCTACTCTTCTAACACTTCTGGTCACCAAATGTGTGAGGATTACCCGCACACCAGGCAATTCTGGGACACCAGCTGAGTGTCCCACAATTTAGCTCAGTTTTGATGCTGTTCACCTGGTGATAACATCGGATGCCACAGGTTGGGGGCTCAGTCCCACGAGACTGCCTCCCCGCCCACCTCAGAGGCCAATCCCAGGCCCAGGTTTCACTTGGGCTTCTGACTGACTGGCTGTGAGTTCGAGGTTTCCCACGATCCCTCCTCAGGCTCAGTTAATTTGCTTACAGGGGCTCACAGAACTCAGGAATAGCCAGATGGAAGAAGGGGACACAGAGCTTCATCCCCTCCCAGCACCTCCACATGTTCACCAACTTGGAAGCCATCTGAACCCCATCTTTTTGGGATTTTTTTTTTAAAAGATTTTATTTATTTGAGAGCGAGAGAGAGAGAGCACAGAGGGAGAGTGAGAGGGAGAAGCAGACTCCCCGCTGAGCAGGGAGCCAGATGTGGGTCTCGATCTCAGGACACTGGGATTATGACCTGAGCCAAAGGCAGACATTTAACCCACTGAGCCACCCAGGTGCCCCTCTTTTTGGGATTTTGGGGGCTTCACTACAAACTGGTTAAATCACTGGCCATTGGTAATTCGTTCCACCTGCAGCCCCATCTCCCTCCGTGGAGCATAGGCGGTGGGACTGAAAGTTACCCTGGTGATCAACCCTCTTCCGTAGGGGCTTTCTGAAGTCACTCATTAACATAAACTGTGGTTGAAAGGGGCTTGTTATGAAAACGACACCGTTTCACCTTTACTTCTGGAGCTATTTCAGGAACCAGGAGCATAATTAAATATTATAATAATAAAAGATGCCTTGGGGCACTTGTGTGGCTTAGTCAGTTGAGCGGCTGCCTTCGGCTCAGGTCATGATCTCAGGGTTCTGGGATCGAGCCCCACATCGGGCTCCCTGCTCGGTGGGGAGCCTGCATCTCCCTCTCTCCTCTCCCTGCTGTGTGTGCACTTGCTCTCTCTCTCTCTCTCAAGTAAATAAAATCTTTAATGGGCGCCTGGGTGGCTCAGTTGGTTAGGCGACTGCCTTCGGCTCAGGTCATGGTCCTGGAGTCCCGCATCGGGCTCCCTGCTCGGCAAGGAGCCTGCTTCTCCCTCTAACCCTCCCCCCTCTCATGTACTCTCTCTCTCATTCTCACTCTCTCAAAATAAATAAATAAATCTTTAAAAAAATAAAAGATACCTCTGTGGCTCTTGTTTAGGAAATTTACAAGAGTTTTAGGGCCTCTGTGCCAGAAATGGTGAAGATCAAATACAATTGACTCCCGAACAAACAAGGTGATTAGGGGCACCAAGCCCCCTACCATGTAGTAAAAAATCTGCATATAGCTTTTGACTCCCGTAAAACTTCTAATATCCTACTATGGACCAGAAGCCTTACTGATGATATAAACAGTCAATTAACACATGTTTTGTATACGTATTATATATTATGTTGTTATGATTAAGCTAGAGAAGAAGGAATGTTAAGAAAATCATAAGAGAAAATACTTTTACAGTAGTGTCCTGTATCAAAAAAGATCCGCGTGTAGGTGAACCAGTACAGTGCAAACCTGTGTTCAAAGGTCATCTGTGTAGATTTCTTACTATAAATCACAATAGCGCACTAGCCAAGGCCCTGGCTATATAACCAGTAGTGTGCCCCTTCTCATGCTCTCACGCTTCATTGTGTAGTAGTGGTATCTTACTGAACTGAAGAAGTAACGGTCGCCATCAGAAAGGCATATATTCTTGCCCCACCAAGAGGTTGTTGGGCAACCTCTTCCAGTTAAAGTGGCCCTGGAGACTTCAGTGTGCCTATAGCACCCCCAGTGGTGTGACTTCTAGAGCTTTCATACACGGCCCAGAGTGTGTCTAAATGATGTCTTTTTTCACAGCAAAAATTGGATGCAGAGTTTCAGAAGAGATTGGAGAGGAATAAAACTGCTGCAGAGGAGCAGACAGCAAAACGGCGGAAAAAGCGGTGAGGGCTTTGGGGCTTCTCATAACCAATGAAACTTAAAGGCAGGAAATGTGAGAGCTGGTGAATGAATAGTCCTTGTGGTCAGAAGTTCAGTGTATGACCTGTCGAGGTCTTGGATGTTACCCAGTAGAGGGATGGCCTTTCTTCCAGTATCTGAGGAGAGATTAAGTCACTTATTGCTGATGCTTCCCCCCACCCCACCCGTTACAGATTCTCCACAGCTCAGGTCAGTGCTTGGGTGATCAGGTAGATTTCTAGGTCTCCTCCACTTCTGTATTTTAACATCAAGTTTTAACAGTATGCTGTGAGCAAACTTTTTTTTTTTTTTAAAAGATTTTATTATTTATTTGACAGAGAGAGACAGCAAGAGAGGGAACACAAGCAGGGGGAGTGGGAGAGGGAGAAGCAGGCCTCCCGCCGAGCAGGGAGCCCGATATGGGGCTCGATCCCAGGACCCTGGGATCACGACCTGAGCCGAAGGCAGATGCTTAACGACTGAGCCACCCAGGCGCCCCGTGAGCAAACTTTCTTTAGCTTCTTCCTTAAATTGTGTGACCTCCCTCAGTGACATTATGTCAGTATGTAGACTGGGTGTGTGTGTGTGTGTTTTAATAAATGCTCCCTCATGCTTTAGAGAGCTAAGCAGGATTCTAAAAACAGTCCCTAATTCTTAGTCTGTTTCTGGCAATCTGTTAATTTATTGGGATAGTCATCTTTTGTTTGCTTTCTGATAGGCTTGGTAAATTTAGTTAAAGAGCGCCTCTGTATGCTACAACTTGATTACATCTTTTTTTCTAGCTATTTTGCATTTTTTTCTTTTACCATGTTTCAGTTTCTGCATGTGGAATTAAATAAGAAACAAAACTTTGTAAAACTGTAACATTTCACATGGAAATGCTGCCCAGTCTTCACCAGCTTCAGAAATCTCACCTTTGCTGATGCTGCAATAAAGTATTGTCATTTAAGAAAATAAATAAATAAAAATAGTCCCTAAATATCTTAGAATGAAAAACATCTCCAGTATTCCTGAGATTGCTTTAATTACCTCAGGGCTCCCCAGGATTTCATTTTGATTCAAGAAGAAACCAGCTTGATAATGCTGATGGTGTTGGAGTAGCAGAATCACAAGAAAGTATTTCTTCCCTTTTGTTATTATAGCATCTGTGTGATTATAAGGTCTTTAAACATTCTATAAGTAGATATTTATTTTCTAAAATATATAGTAAGGTAGTGAAGGAATTAATGTATTTTATATTTATAGCCAGAAGTTGAAAGAGAAGAAATTATTGGCAAAGAAGATGAAACTTGAACAGAAGAAACAAAAAGAAGGTGAGTGGTACTTACTTTTCTTGATTGTGATCTTTCTCAGTGTTGATCACCATGGCTGACCTGTCAAGAATGAGATTTAGAGTTTGGAGCTGGTTGGCTGGCCACTGAAGAAATGAGAACTTATTTCTATTAGTTAAGACTCTAATTGCAAGTGTCAGAAAGGTAAACAGAAGGAAAGATACTGGCTCACATTAAGTCAGGACAGACCTCCCTTCAGGGATGGCTAGTAAAGGAGCTCAGTGATGTTACTGGCATTCTTTGTCTCCCTCTGTCCCCTGGCTCTTTGTCCTCAGGCAGGTACATGTCCTCCCTGTGGTTGTGGGGTACCTGGGAATGCACCCTGCCTCATTCTTATCCACTGGGAAAGACTGAGGGGAGAGGCACCTGGGTGGCTCAGTTGATTAAGCATCTGTCTTTGGCTCAGGTCATGATCTCAGAGTCCTGGGAACCAGCCCTGAGTCGGGCTTCCTGCTCAGCGGGGAGTCTGCTTCTCCCCTGCCCCTCCCCTTGGCTCGTGCTCATGCTCTTTCTCTAGCTTGCTCTCTCTCGAATAAATAAATCTTTATTTTTTTATTTTTATTTTTATTCTTTAAAGATTTTATTTATTTATTTGACAGAGAGAGACACAGTGAGAGAGGGAACACAAGCAGGGGGAGTGGGAAGGGGAGAAGCCGGCTTCCCGCCGAGCAGGGAGCCCAATGTGGGGCTCGATCCCAGGACCCTGAGATCATGACCTGAGCCGAAGGCAGTTGCTTAACCAACTGAGCCACCCAGGCGCCCCAATCTTTTTTTTTTTAAAGGAAAGACTGAGGGGATGCCTCTAGCAAAAGTGTTTTTGTGTCTTTTTGGCTCTGATTGAGTCACTTGGCAAGTCAGTTAAGAACGCTTTGGGCTTGGGGCACCTGGGTGGCTCAGGTCATGATCCCAGGGTCCTGGGATCGAGTCCCACTTGGGGCTCCCTGCTCAGTGGGGAGCCTCCCTCTCCCTCTGCCTGCCACTCCTCCTGCTTATGCTCTCTGTCGTATAAATAAAATCTTTTAAAAAAAAAAATGCTTTGGGCTCTAAGAAACAGAAAACTCAACTAGCCGTAGTTAAACAAAGAGGAGGTCATTTCTCTCACATAACAAGACATTTGGTGGTAGGTGGCAGCCTGATGTGGTTCAGCAGCTCAGTAGTGTCAGGCCCAGTATCCCGGCAGTTCTCTTGGCCTTTATTTTGTGGGCATGAGATGACTGCTGCGGCTCCTGGCATCATACCTATGTTCAAGGAAGAAAGAAAGGGGAAAGAAGTGGTACTTGTCTTTTTTTTTTTTTTAACAGAAGAGCAAAAGATCCCCCCAAAGTGCCCAAGAGATGTCATTTTATATTTCATTGGTCAGTACTGGGTGACTTTGCCATCCCTTGCTGCTATTAAGCTAGATGAATAGAAAACAGAATTGTTGTGACTATCTTTTTAACCTGTCAGGATTCATCCCTGGGAGCTGGCTACATTGCCACCCTAGACTGAGATGAGATTTTGTTAACAAGGAGGATTAGGGGCTGAGTCATGTATCACCATCCCATAGTGCTCCCAGTCCTGTCCACCTCTGAACCCATCACAGGGACAGAGGTACCAGCCACTCCCCTGAGAGCCCCTGAGCTGAGAGTCAGGGAAAGAGAGGTGTCCAATGGAAAGGACCAAGGATGCTAAGAGACCAAACACATGACACCTGCAGACCACATTACCGAGTTGATGATTCTTCCCTGATTGACCAGCCATAGCTCCTGGTTGGACAGTTGTGATTTTGGTCTTCAGGTAAAGTCAGACTTCCACTGATAGACTAAAAATGATTGGTCCCTTCCAGAATCTATTTCCTTCTAAGTTGTAAATATGCTGTGTGACATTCTATGTATGGCATAGTTTTAGGCTATTTCTTACCATTTCTTAGAGTATTTTATAACACTAAAATGTGATTGTTAGGACCTCATCCCTCAAACCACCTCATTATTTTCCCAGCCCTCTTTTCCCTCCCTACATGCGGGGGAACCCAGAAGTACTTGGTCCAGGCTTTTCTGTGGCATCATTTCCCCTCTGTCTGAAGAACTTTTTGTCACTCAGAAGAGGTCTGCTGGCTATAATTTTCTTAGCTTTTCTTCAAATGAGGCTGTCTTCATACTACCTTTGTTCCTAACAGACATTCTCACTAGATCTGAAATTCTAGGTTGGCAGTTTTTTCTTAGCACTTTAGAAATGCCATTCCAGGGGCGCCTGGGTGGCTCAGTTGTAGGGCGTCTGCCTTCGGCTCGGGTCATGATCCCAGGGTCCTGAGATCGAGCCCTGTGTCGGGCTTTCTGCTCAGGGGGAGGCCTGCTTCTCCCTCTCCCACTCCCCCTGCTTGTGTTCCCTCCCTTGCTGTCTCTCTCTCTCTCTGTCAAATAAATAAATTTTAAAAATCTTAAAAAAAAAAAAAAAAAATGCCGTTCCACTTTGTCTGGCCTCCACGGTTTCTGATGAAAATTTTGTAATCATTCAAATTGTTCTATCATTGTTTTTCTCTGGCTGCTTTTAAGATTTCTGTCTTTAGATGTCAGCAGTTTGATTATGATGTGTCTACACGTGGATTTCCTTGGGTTTATCCTGTCTGGAGTTCATGGAGCTACTCAGATCTGTAGGCATACATGTCTTTTGTCAAATTTGGAAATTTTTTTCAATAATTTTTGTTTCTGTTCTTCCTGTTGGATAATTCCTACCTATCTGACTTCAAGCCATCTCTTTCCTGTGCCATTTCTATTCTGCTATTGATCCTACCCAGTGAATTTTTTATCTCAATTACTGTGTTTTTTCAGAAAAGTTCTGAAATTTTGACTTTTTTTTTATGTTTTATTTATTGGAGAGAGAGAGAGCGAGACTGCACAAACTGGGCCGGGGGGCAGGGAGCCTTACACGACCCGATCCCAGGACCCTGAGATCATGACCTGAGCTGAAACCAAGAGTCAGACGCTTAACCGGCTGAGCCACCCAGGCCACCCCTTGGGCATTTTGAGTATTATATCATGAGGCTTTGGTCTTGGTGGTATTTGTTTTAGTAGGCAGTCAGCCTGGTTGTGTTCCAGAACATGGGTTCTCCCTAGCCTCCTGCAGGTTGTTCTAGCGTCAGTTCGGTTTTCCAAGTTTTGCCGAGCTCTCCAGGTGTGTCCTGCATGCACTGCACAGTGGCCAGGCAGGGTTTAGTTCTTTGAGTTCGGGTCTCAGAGTGTTTGGTATGATGATTCGGGCCGCATCCATGCTTGCGCCGTCAGGCTGAGCCTGGGAGTTCATAAGTGACTTACGATGTCTTTTCTAATCTCCTTTTTCTCCATGAGCTCTCCTCTACTTTCTGGTTTCCTGGGACTCCCCTTCTCAGACCTCTAGCCAGAAAACTGAAGTTTTAGTTACACGCTACCTTCAGCTGCACCTGCCTCCAGGGCCGTGCAATGGGAGGACAGAGAAGAAAAGCAGCAGGGCTTACCCGGCCATCTTAGGACCACAGCTCCTCCAATCAGTGAGAAGGGCTCTCCTCTTCTGAAGTGTTTGTGCCCGCAAGCCCCCATTGCCACCAAAGGTGCCGTGGCCACCGTCACTCTGGCAGGATTGCCTGGGAGCTAGGGTGTGAGAGAATGGAGAAAAAAGAAGAAACACCACAACTTCCCTTACTCTCAGCATTGGGAGTCCTTTTCTTACCTCTCAGACCAGAAGCGGACGGTTTCTCGTGGAGTTCCGTCTGTCCCCGGGCTCCACTTCCGCACATCAGATCGTCCCGACTCCAGGCTGGGGGTACTGAGGGGGGAAGAGGACCTCAGGAATTCAGAGCTTTTCCAGTGGCACTTTGTATGCTGGTCTTTTCCCCCGTCTGCTTGCTTCTCAGGAGTCCATCATTCTGTCCAGGTCCTGTATTCAGTGGAGAGAAAGAGTCAAATGTGTGTGCTCTGTCTTACCTAGAACCCTCTGTTTTCTTGTTTTGTTTTTAAATCTAAACACAGGACTGTAGCTCTTTTGCATTTCAGCCTGGTGCTGTTGGCTCTGTTGATTCAGGTTCCAAAATCCTTTTGGAATTCTCATTCTGAAATTCAGCATGTTACCATGTCTTTCTGGGGTTGTCATGGGCAGAGTTGATAAATGTAACTCCTTTGTCATGAATGAAAATGTTGAGCCAGACTGGGCCAGGGCCAGAGCCCGAGCCCAAGCCCTCTAGCATCCATGGGAGAGCTCCATGTAGGCTGGCAGGGACCTGTTCACTAAAACCTGTAGGGTGGAGTTAATTCTCCAGCTAAGAATCAGCCAGACTCCCTCTTATTTCCTTACTCACAGACGTGTCATAAGAAATTAAGAGGTAATTTGAGGTTATGGGGTGAGTACAGTAGATGTAAGTTCTAGGCTTAGCTCTCCCTCCAGCTCACCCTGACCTCAAGTGTCTGGCTTCTCTTATTTGAGATTTCTTTTTTAGCTTATAACTGATAAGCTTTTTCTAGATCTGAAATTCTGCAGTTTGATAACTTCGCCAGACATCTTGCTGTAATTAAGATACACCATATTTGGGGGAGGTTCCCTGAGCAGTGAGTCTAAAAAAACTCTTCCGTAACAGGAAGCCGGGTGATTAGTTTGCTCTGAATTTATACTTAATGAACCTGTATCAGGTCTTCGGGGTCCCATTTTAACTTTTTAGTAATCGGCTCCGTAATAGAAGGAGCCCGTTGGCACCATCACAGAGCCGGGCCTCTCGAATCCTCCTCCTCTGACCACTGTTAGACAGTAGGTGCGCCGACCTTGCTGTTTTCGGACGCCTCTAATTTGCCCGAGGCTATTAAGCGTGTCTGAGCTGGTGGAGCAGGCTTTGGTATTCTCCGGAGCTTCCGTGCAGGCCTCCAGCTTGTTTACGGTGGCCTTGTGCCCTCTCACTGCCCCCACCCCTTCCCCCTCCCCATGTCTTGAGCTTCAGTTCTGTCAGAAAGACGATGTTTGCGCACCTTGGTAACACGGTGTCT